TAGCCCCCCCAGCCCGGGGCGGGGGCAGCATGGACCGGGGGGGGGCGGTCTGCATGTGGCAGAGGGGGCCCTGCAAGCATCCACACCCGGGCAGAACTGGGCCTGCTGGAGAGGTGTCCTGGCCCCCACCACGACAGGGACTCTTTTGAGGTGGGGGGTCCAGCCCCATTGCTGGGAAATGGCTATGAATGGAAATAAAGGGGACCTCCGCCCCGCCTGCTAGAGCGACTCTGTCCATCTGTGCCTTGGCAGGCCTGTCTCTGATGTTGGGGTCTCGGGGGCCCCCACCCCCACCCCCGCCCCAGCCCCAGCCCCCGGGAATTACCCCCCGCAGCCCAGCCTGGGATTGCCACCCCCACAAGACCCCTGAGCCGCAGTGCAGGACTCCTGTGGTCCCCAGGACCTGGTTTATTTATGCACTGCTACAGCAGAGGTTTCCATGGGGGGAGCCCGGAGGCCTGGGTTGCCTCCAGCTTGGGGTGGGACATGGGGTCTCCGGGGGAGTTTAGAGGAGGGGGGCCTGGGACCCCAGACACCTGGCTTCCACCCCTGGCTGTGGCAGAGGGGTGGGGTGGTCAAAGCAAAGGGGCCTGGGGCCCAGGAGTCTCCCAGCACCAGCTCCGTGCCTCAGTTTCCCCAGAGTCCTTACATGGTGGGGAGGCGGCCATGGTTCAGCTTGAGCCGGGGATGAGGCAGGGGGTTCACCCCCCCATGGGCTACTGGCCCTGGAGGAAGGAGGTGTGGCAGGCAGCGGTCACCATGGCGACGAGCGTGGTGTACTCCTGGAAGTCAATGCTCTTGTCCCCGTCCGCGTCCAGGTCCCTGAAGAGCCGCTCCAGGGTGTTGGGGTCACGGATCTCCTGCGGCGAGGCCGGGGTGGGTTAACAGGGCGGGGGGGGGGGGAATGCAGCTGGCTCTGGGGTGGGCCAGGGGGCACCTACCTGCACGAACTGGGGCAGCTCCCGGTTGACCAGGGCTTTGAGATCCGCCTTGCGCAGCCGGCCACGGCAGCCCGAGTAGGTGTGGAAGACCCGCATGATGGAGACCAGTGCCTGCTCCAGTGCCGTCAGCGCCACGCTGCAGGCGGGGGCACGGGGTGAGGGGGATCTCCCTGCACGGTCCACTGGGACCCCCTCCCCACCAGGGGCTGCCGGTGTCTAGGAGGCCCCTAGGTCAGAGGTCACTCACTAGAGCTCCCTAAGCGCTAGTCATCATCCCCCCCCTCCCCCCAGGATCCACCCCAGAGCCAGCTGCACGCCCGCTGGGCTAAAGGCCCGGAGCAAAAGCGGGGGGCGCAGAGCCCCGGGATGGGGGCTGCGCCACGTCCCTGCCGCTTACCTCTCCTGCGGGTGGCAGGCCATGTCCCGCGGCCGTGGAACCGCCTGTGCGCCCCGGTCACTGCCCAAAGCAAATGGCCTCGGCACCGCGCGCTGCCTGCCGGGGCGATGCCATCTTGCCCGCCCGCCCCCCCAGACTAAAAGCCCTGGGAGGCTCTAATGGGGCCAGGGCCATTAGCAGATGGAGCCCAGATGGCTCCGTCCATCCGGAGCGGCCCCCGCAGGAGCCGGCTGCCGGGAAGCCCGGGTGGGGGAGGGGGTGGGGGCCTGGAACTGGAGAGGTTAGACCAGGGGCTGGGTGCGAGAGCACACCTGCGATTGTGCGTACACCTGCGTGCACCTGGTGTGCACGCTGACACCTGTGCATGCACTTGCATGTTCCTTCCTGTGCGTGGGCATGTGTGCATGTCTGTGTGGGTGCGTGTGTGTGCACGCACCTGTGCATGAGCATCCACCTGGGTGTGTGTGTGCACGTGTGCATGCCTGCGCCTCTGCCTACACCCGTAGGCATGTGTTTGTGGCGTGCGTGTGCATGCACAGAGGCGTGTGTTTGTGCCTGTGTGCGTGTGCGTATGAGGGGTGACTGGGGGCTCCTGGCCCCTTTTGCTTCCTCCTGGGGCCCTGGCAGCGGCACACGAGGGTGCACCTCATGGGGGTGCACCAGAGGCCACCTGCAGCCCTAGGGATACGGGGGGTGGGGGGATGGGGGTGTTCTGGAAGCCCCGTTGCCATGGTAATGATCCTGTTGCCACGCCGCTGCATCAGGTTGCTATGGCAATGGCGGGGGCAGCTTCTGGGGGCTGCTCCCCTGCAGGACCCCCGAGCCGGGCCAGTTGCGAGACTCAGCTTCCTGGCCCCTGCCGCGCCCCATAGAAAAATGGCGACCCCCAGAGAGGCACCGAGCTGGGCTGGGCAACATGGCGGCGCCCAGGGAGAGAACCCGGAAGTAGCTCCTCTCTTCCTGCCAGAGACCCGGAAGTGGTTCCTCGTCCCTGGCGGAGCAGGAGCCGACGCTGCCGGGAATGGTGGGTCCGGACCCCTGGGTTGTCTCCTGGCCGGGGGAGGGGGTTTGGGACCCCGCACGCCTGGGCTTTCGACCAGTTTGGGGGGTCTCGGAAGCGCAGGCGCCCGGGCGCTGGCCCAGTTCC